GTGTGTCTGTTTCTCTTATCTCTGTCTCTTCTCTCTTTTTCTTTTCTCTTTCTCTTTCTTTCTCCTTTCTCTCTCTCTCTTCTCCTCTCTCTCTCTCTCTCTCGCTCTCTCTCTCTCTCTCTCTCTCTCTCTCTCTCTCTCTCTCTCTCCTCTCTAACTCTGATATATGTATATATATTTATATATACATATATGATATATATAATATATGTGCGATATATATATATATATATATATATATATATATATATATATATATATATATATATTGTGTGTGTGTGTGTGTGTGTGTGTGTGTGTGTGTGTGTGTGTGTGTGTGTACGTACGTATATATGTAAATGCATACATACACATTGTATGTATGTATACACAACACACACACACAACACACGACGACACCGAAGGGGAAGAACCGAGGCGATGGCCTCCCTCCTCCGCAGACAAAGGTTCCCCTCGAAAGCAACAGACAAATAAAAGGTCATAAATCAACGCGAGAAGGTCAAAGCCGAGCAGAAAAGGGGGCAAGGTGGTGTTGTATGGGGAGGGGAGGGGGGGGGGAGAAGGAGGAGAGAAGGGGAGGAGTGGGAGAAGGGTGTGAGAGAGAGGGGGGGGGAAGGGGGAGAAGGAGGGAGAAAGGAGTGGGATGGGGAAGAACGGGGTGGGAGTGGGAGTAGGATGGAGAGAGAGGTAGGGAGGAAGAGAGAAAAAAGAGAAAAAGGGAAAGAGAGGGAGAAGAGACAGAGGAAGAGAGAGAGAGAGAGAGAAGAGGAAAAGAGAGAGAGAGAGAGAGAGGAGACAGGGAGGAGAGAGAGAGAGAGAGAGAGAGAGAGGAAAGAGAGAGAGAGAGAGAGACGAAAGAGAGGGGAGAGAGAAGGAATAAGTCAAGGAGAGAGAGAGAGACGAGAGAGACAGAGAGACCAAAAGACCGACAGACCGAGACACCGGACAGAGACCCGAGATCCAGACCACCAGCAAACACAGAACAAACAGAACCAAAAGACAGAAACAGACACAACAAATCAGACAGGAGCGAGACGGAAAACGATCCAACGGCAGTCATCAACACAAGAGAGGCGGATCGACAGGCGGGCCTACTGGGGCTGCCTCCGATTAAGGTCAGGTAAGGGGATGAAGGTCGTTCAAGGAGAGGATAGTTTATTGGCGGGGGGGGGGGGCTGCGGTGGTGTATTTCTGGGGGGGGTTGTGGGAGGGGTATTTGCATAGTATTTTTTTTTTTTTTGGGGTGGGTGGTGGGGGTTGTGTGTGTGTGTGTGTGTGTGTGTGTGTGTGTGTGTGTGTGTGTGTGTGTGTGTGTGTGTGTGTGTGTGTGTGTGTGTGTGTGAATGGATGGATGATGGATGTATTGCAAATGGCTGTGTCACTCTTTGCAAGGTATTTTGCTATGTGCAGTGTGAACGTTTTATTTTAGATGATTTATGCTGTATCACCTCTTTCTCTCTCTCTCTCTCTCTCTCTCTCTCTCTCTCTCTCTCTCTCTCTCTCTCTCTCTCTCTCTCTCTCTTCTCTTCTCCTGTTCTGTGTCTCTTTCCTCTCTCTTTGTCTTGCCTTTCCCTCTCCCCGTCTCTCCCTTTGTCCTCTTTCTCCTTTTCCCTCTCCCGGCCCTCACAATTTCCTCTCCCTTTTTCCCCTCTTCCCGCCCTCCCCCTCTCTCCCCTTTCCTTCACCCCCCCCCCCCCCCAAACCCTCATGACAGCGTTCGGTCATGACATGTTCGTCCCTTGTCATGGGGGAGAGGGGGAGAGGGGAAAGGAGGGGACAGTGGGGAAAAGGATTTCCGTTGGTTTTGTGGAATTTATTTTTTTTTTTTTTTTTTTTTGGAGATGAAGAGAGAGGAGAGAGGAGGAGGAGGAGGGGAGGAGGGGAGGAGAGGAGGAGGAGGAGGAGAGGGGAGAGGGAGGAGAAGAGAGGAAGGGAGGAGAAGGAAGAAGAGAAGAGGAGGAGGAGAGAAAAGAGAGAGAGGAGGAGGAGGAGGGAGAGTAGGAGAAGGAGAACAGAACAAGAAGACGAAGAAAGAAGAGGATAGAAGACCGATAACGCGACACAAGCCGAGGCAGGGCCATTGTTATCTCGCGGGATAACAAGACCGCTGTTATCTCCTCCTCTCGCTCTCGGAAATACATAGCCGATCTTTCAGCCTTTGAGGGGGTCATGGAGGTGATGGGGGGGGGAGGGAGGGGAGAGGGAGGAGAGGAGAAGGTGAAGGAGAGGGAGAAGAAGGAGGAGGGAAAGGGAAACGAGAATGTGAGGGAGACAGACAGACAAGAAGTATTGAAGAAAAAAGGAAGGACACAAAGTTCATTCCCCTGGCTTCCCCTTCCCCCTCCCCCCACCACCTCCCATCCCCCCACCACTTTCCCATCCCCCCCAATCCCCCTCACCCACAACCTCCATCCCCACCACCACCTCCCATCCCCCCCACCCCTAAATCCATCCCCCCACCCTTCCCATCCCCCCACCACCACCTCCCATCCCCCTCACCCACCACCTCCCATCCCCACCCTCCCCCCCCCCCCCCCAACGACCTATAAGGGGCAGAGCAAGCAAAAGCAAAGCAAAGCAAAGCAAGCAAGCAAGCAAGCAAAGCAATCAAGCAAGCAAGCAAAGCAAAGCAAAGCAAAGCGTAAGCAAGCGCCGAGGTAACAGCATTTCCAAAGCAAGCAACTGGGAAAGGTCATGCTCTTTGAGGGTCATTTCGGGCTGATTCTCGCGGTGGAGGGAAGGTCATACAGGGGTCGGGAAGGGGGGGAGGGGAGGGGGGGGCGAGGGGAAGGGTGGGGGAGGGGTGGGGAGGGGAGGGTTTGGTGAGTATGCAGGGAAGCAAGGGAGAAGGGAGGAGGAGGGAAAGAAGTAGGGGAGGAGGAGGAGAGGAAGAAGGAGGAGATGAAGAAGTAGGAGGAGAAAGAGAAGATGAGACGTAGAAGGAAATGGAGGAGATGAAGTCATAGAAGAAGAAGAAGTAGGAAAAAAGAGAAGAAAAAAGAAGGAGGAAGAACAAGAAGAAAGTGAGGATTCCAGTACGCGACTCGACCTGAGATGCAGCGTGGAGCGAGGAGGAGGAAGAGAGGAGAGAAGGAGAGAGGAGGAGGAAGAGAGAAGGAGGGCGAGGAGGAGGAGAAAGAAGAGGAGAGAAGGAGGCGAGGAGGAGAGAAGAGAGAAGGAGGGCTACAGTGCCAGAGAGCAGAGGGCCAAGGAAAGGCACCTCATTATACTCTACAGTGAGCTGGTCACGGCACCATAGATATCCTTCTGAAGGTCAAGGGGACACTATAAGGTACAGTGCAGCAGGAGGAAGGGGACCCGGGAGACCTTTTGCTTGCGAAGGGAAGGGGAAAGAGGAGAGGAGAGGAAAAGGAGGGATGTTGGGAGAGGAGAGAAAGGGAAGAGAGGAGAAGGAGAAGAGGAGAGAAAGAAAGAGTGGGAAGGGAGGAGGGATGAGGGGAGAGCAAAAGAGAACAGAAAAGAAAAACAGACGAGAAGAGAAAGGAGAGGAGAGATGAGAAGAGAGAAGACATGAGCGAAGAGAAGCGGGAAAAAGAAAAGGAAGAGGATAAGAGAAGGATGAAGGTAAGAGAAGAAAAAGAAAAAAGATAAAGAGAAGAAGAAGAAAGAAAGAGGCGGGCGAGACGAAGGAGAGGAAGAGGGGACCAGGGGCGCGGGAGGGGGAAGAGAAGGAAAAGGAGAAGAAATAAAGAAGAAAAAGAGAAGAAGAAGAAGAAGGAAAGGGGTGGAGAAGAAAGAAGAAAAAAGAGAAAGAGAAGAAGAAGAAAGAAAGAGGAGGCCGACGACGAAGGAGAGGAAGAGGGGACCAGGGGCGCGGGAGGGAAAGAGAAGGAAAAACGGAGAAAAAAAGAAAAAGAGAAGACGAAAGAAGGAAAGAGGGGGGGAGGAAGAAAAGAAAAAAAAAAGAAAAAGAGAAGAAAAGAAGAAAGAAGAAAGAAGAAAAGAAAGAGGAAAGAAAGAAAGAAAGAAAGAAAGAAAGAAGAGAAAGAAAGAAGAAAGAAAGAAAGAAAGGGGGGCGGGGGCGAACGAAGGGAGGAAGAGGGGACCGGGGGCGCGCGCGGGCCGAGGCCGAAAAGCGATCTCCGCAGCGTTATAAAACCGGGCAATAAATACGGGCGCGAGATCATATCGGCGACAGTAACCACTCGGGAGTCGTGGCGGTGGGAGGCTGCCGGTCGTTCCGGGAGCGGCTTTTGTTGCGAAAGTTTTATTTACCTTTTTTCTGCTATTTTTTTTTTCTCTCTCTCTCTGTCTATCCATCTCCCGGCTTGAAAAAGTTTTATTTACCTTTTTTGTTCCTCTTTTCTCTCTCTCTTCTGTCTATCCAAAAAAATAAAAATGTTTATTTGCCTTTTTGTTCCTCTTTTTTCTCTCTCTCTCTCTCTCTCTCTCTCTCTCTCTCTCTCTCTCTCCTCTCTCTCTCTCTCTCTCTCTCTCTCTCTCGTCTGCTCCTCCTTTTTTGTCTCTCTCTCTCTCTCTGTCTATCCATCTCCCGGCTTGAAAAGTTTTTATTTACCTTTTTTTTGTTTTCTCTTTTCTCTCTCTGTCTATCCATCTCCCGGCTTGTAGAAAAAAGTTTTATTTACCTTTTTTGTTCCTCTTTTCTCTCTCTCTCTCTCTGTCTATCCATCTCCCGGCTTGTAGAAAAATGTTTATTTACCTTTTTTGTTCCTCTTTTTCTCTCTGTCTATCCATCTCCCGGCTTGTAGAAAAAATGTTTATTTACCTTTTTTGTTCCTCTTTTCTCTCTCTCTCTCTCTCTGTCTATCCATCTCCCGGCTTGTAGGCCTAGGTAGGGCGTGGGCTTTTAGCGGAAAAAAAGGGTTTTCTGCCTACGCTGCCTGCGGATAGGGGGTGGGAGGGGGGAGGGGGGGAAGGGGAGGAGGAAGAGGAAGGGTTGTGCGGTTGTTTGATTGTGAGGGATATGGTTGTTGGGTTGTAAAGGATAGGGTTATTTGGGTGGAAGGTTGTAATGGTGGTTATAAGGGATAGGTTTGTGATTTTAGAAGGGTTGTATTGTAAGGTTGTAGGTTGCAAGGGATACGGTTGTAGGGGTTGTAAAGGATATGGTTATGTGGCTGGAAGGTTGTAATAGTGGTTCTAAGGGATAGGGTTGTGATTTATAAGGGTTATGGTTGTAAAGTTGTGATGGTGATGATTTATGAAGTAGATTTGAGTTCGTGTATAAAATGAAATTGAACAAGTAACTGAGTAGAATTTGCGATAGGATAATATGGAGAATAGAGAAGGACAAGGGGGGAAAGGGAAGGGAGAGGGAGAGGAGAGGAGGGAGAAGGGAGAAGGGGAAAGAGGGAGGAAGGAAGGGATGGAGGGTAGTGAAATAAAAAAAGAATAAAGGAGATTAATATAGATCAATCGAATGGATAGTTATGACCAAATGAATATATGTAAATGAGATAAAAAGATGATAATGCAATAAGTGAACATCGCTGAACAGTAAGTGAACATCGCTGAACAGTAAGTGAACACTCGCTGAACAAGATCAAGATGACGGGGTCAAGTCGCCCCGTCACTCGAAGGATGAGGATGACGTCAGCTGTTTTGGAAGAAGGATGGGAATTTGACGACAATGACAATGACGATGACGATGACGATGACGATGATGACGACAAGACAAGAGGTGATGATGATTGATGACGATGATGATGACAGAGGTGGATGAGATGATGATGATGATGATGATGATGATGACGATGATGACAAGACAGAGGTGATGGTGATGACGATGATGATGATGATGACGATGATGACCAAGACAGAGGTGATGATGACGATGATAATGATGATGATGATGACGATGAATAACGATGACGATGATGATGACGATGATGATTGATGATAACGATGACGGAATGACGATGACGATGATGACCAAGACAGAGTGATGATGACGTGACGAATAGATGATAATGACGATGATGATGATGATGATGACTGATGACGATGCACAAATGACAATGAAGAATGATGATGACGATGACGATGATGATGACGATGACGGTGATGATGAATGACGATGATGATGACGATGATAATGACGGTGAAATGATGATGAGCGATGAACGTGATGATGACCAAGACAGAGTGATTACGATGACTTGTGGTGGTCTTGGCTTGTCACTCAATGAATGCGAAGGTTAGGAATTAGCACGTGGGTGTGGGTGGGTGGGTGTGGGTGGGGGGTTTGGGGTGTGGAGGGAGGGAGGGAGGGGGGAGGGTGTATGGGTGTTGTGGGGGGGGGAGTGGGTTTGATGTACGCTTACAGATGTATTCAGTCAGGCAGTTAGTCACTCATTCATTCACTTCACTCACATCACTCACTCACTCATTCATTCACTTATTCATTCAGTCACTCACTGTCGCATACTCGCTCACTCACTCACTCACATACTCATTCACTCACACACTCATTCATACTCACTCACTCCTCATTCATCATTCATTCACATCTCATCACACTCAACTCATTCACTCACTCACTCACATACTCATTCACACACTCACTCACACATCATCTCACACACACACACACTCACCTCACTCACTCACTCATCACTCATCCATTCACGTCACTCCATCACTTCACTCAACACGGCCACACACACACACCACACACACACACACCACACACAACACACAACACCACACACCACACACATACACAAACACACCACAACATTCATACACTCACCCACACACTCACTCACTCACACTCACTCATTCCACCTACAGCACACCACTCATTCACACACCTCACACACATCACTCCACCACTCACACTTACACAACACACTCACTCACACAGTCACTCACACTCATTCATTCACATAACACACAGCACTCACTCACTCAATTCATTCATTCACATTCACACACACTCACACACATTCACACACACATCACACTCACTCCACACACTCACCACCCACCCACCCACCTACTCACTCATTCTCACACATCACTCACACACTCACTCCGTGGCACACAGCCGCACGCACAAGGCCCGTATTGAGCCCCGGTGCGAGGTGCTACGTGGGCGCTGGTTTGAAAGTGGATGAGTGGGTGGGAGGGGAGGGAGAGGGAGGGAGAGGAAGGGAGGAAAGAGAGGGGGGAGAGGGAGGGAGAAAGGGAAAAGGGAAGCTGAAGGGAGGAGGGGGAGGGAGAGGGAGGGAGGAGGAGAGGGAAGGGGGAGAAGGGGTGAGGAGGGAGGGAGAGAGGGAGAGGAAGGGAGGGAGAAAAGGGGAGGGAGGGAGGGAGGGAGGGAAATCGGGAGCCAGGCAGGGGATCAAGGGAGCCAGGGAGGGAGGGAGGGAGGGAAGCAGGGGAGTAGGAAGAGAGGCGGGAGATAGGTAGGAAGGGAGGCAGGGAGGCAGGGCGGTGGGCGGTCCCTCCCTGCTCCCTTCCTGCAGGAACCGGAACTGGGGAGGTGGCACAGGAGGGCGGCGGCGGCGACAAGTCAGGTGATTTGCCGAGCGGATGGGTTGGAGAGGATGGGATAGAGAGAATAGGATAGAGAGAATGAGATAGGAAGAATGGGATAGGAAGATGGGATGAAGAGAATTGGATAGAGAGAATGGGATAAAGAGAATGAGATAGGAAGGATGGGATAAAGGGAATGGGGGGAAGGAATGAGGTAGGGAGATTTGGATAAAGGGAATAGTATAAAGAGAATTAGATTGAAAGATGGGATAAAGAGAATGAGATAGAAAGATGGGATAAAGGGAATAGGAAAAAGAGAATGAGATAGAGAGAATAGGATAAAGAGAATGAGATAGGAAGAATGGGATAAAGGGAATGGGATAGGAAGATGGGATGAAGAGAATTGGATAGAAAGAATCAGGTAGGGAGAATTGGATAGAAAGAATACGATAAAGAAAATGGGATAGGATGAATGACATAAAGAGGAATAAAGAGAATGGGATAGGAAGAATGAGGTAGGGAGAATTGGATAAAGACAATGGGATACAGAGAATGGGATAAAGAGAGTGGGATAGAGAGACTGGGATAAGAAGAATGAGGTAGAGAGAATGTGAGAGGGAGAATTGGACAGAGAGCATGGGATAGGGAGAATGAGGGACAGTGCGTGAGACGGAGGGAGGGAAAGAATGAGATACGTAGGGAAAGTGTGATAGAAAGAATGAGGTTGAGAGACTGAAATACGGAAAATGAGATGGGAGGGTAAAAGAGAATGAGATGGAGAGAATGAAAGGATAATAAGAGGGAGAAGGCGATAGGAGGGAGAGAAAGATATTAGAGAGAGAGAGAGAGAAAGAGAGATTTGAGAGAGAGAAGTGAGAAGGAAGGAGATGAGATAGAGAGTATGTAGAGAGAGGAAGGTCAGAGATAGCGAAAGGGGGATAACGAGGAAGAGAAAGAGAAAGCATAAAAGGGGATAACGAGGAAGAGATCAGAGATAGCGAAAGGGGGATAACGAGGAAGAGAAAGAGATAGCATAAAAGGGGATAACGAGGAAGAGATCAGAGATAGCGAAAGGGGGATAACGAGGAAGAGAAAGAGATAGCATAGAAGGGGATAACGAGGAAGAGAAAAAGAGCGAAAAAGAGGATAACAAGGAAGAGAAAGAAATGGCATAAAAGGGATTAACGAGGAAGAGAAAGGGGATAACAAAGAAGAGAAAGAGATAACGAAAGGGGAATAACGATGAAGAAAAAAAATGAAAAGGGGATAACGAAGAAAAGAAAGAGATAGCGAAAGGGGGATAACGAGGAAGAGCAAAATGAATTACGACGAAGAGGGGGGGGGAAGGCGGAGGCGGAGAGGAAAACGCCGCCAAGAGGAAACGGGGTAAATAAATCGCCGTTATGGCAACCGAAGAAAGGGGAAAGAAAGACAGGGAAGAGAGAAGGAGAGAGAAAGAAGGGAAAAGGAAGAGGGAAAGGGGAAGAGAGAAGGAGAGAGAAAGAAGGGAAAGGGAAGAGAGAAGGGAAGAGAGAAGAAGAAAGGAAGAGTAAAAGAATAAGAAAAGGCAAAGATGAAGAAAGAAAGAAGAAACAGAAAGAAGTAAAAGAATAAGAAAAGATGAAGAAAAAAAAAAAATAAACGTAGAATGGGAGAATAAGGATAGGTGAAGGATGAAAGGAAAGAGGAGAAGGAGGGAAGGGAGGGAAGGGAAGGGAAGGGGGAAAGGGGGAGGAAGGAGGGAGGGGGGAGGGAGGGAGGGAGAGGGGAAGGACCGCCAGATTCCAGGATAAGAAAGTTCACGAGAGACTGCAGATGTTATATCGATTGGGGATTGGATTATCTCGGGATGGAGTCCTGCATCTTAAGGAGCTTCTTCTCTCGCGCGCGCACGTGTGGGTGGGGTGGGTGGGGTAGGGTGGGGGTGTGGTGGGTGTGGGGTGGGGGGGTGGATGGATGGGTGGGTGGGTGTGGGGGAGAGGGGGAGGTTGTGTGTGGGTGGGTGTGGGTATGGGTGGGTATGTGTGTGTGTGTGTCTGTCTGTCGGTCTGTGTGGGTGTTGCTCTTTGTATTGTGTATATATGTATGTATATATGTGTGTTGATGTTTGGGTATGTATATGTGTATGTTTACATGTCTGCGTTCATGTTTATGTCAACACGTTCGTATCTCTGCGTTTGTCTCGGTGTGCGCTTTGCCTCTCTGTGTCTGAACCGGTGTCTGTCTGCCGGCGGGGAATGTGTCTGTCTGTTGTGTCTGTCTGCCGGCGGGATGTGTCTGTCTGCCGGCGGGGATGTGTCTGTCTGCCGGCGGGGATGTGTCTGTCTGCCGGCGGGAATGTGTCTGTCTGCGGGTGTGTCCCTGATCCCGCGCCCATAAAATCGAGAGCCAGCGGAAGGCGGCGGCGGTAAAGTGGCGGCGGGCGGCTCGGTTCCCTCCGCCGCGAGTAGGCCTATCGCGGGAACCATCGCGGCTTGGATGAAGTCCGGCCGTCCATGTAGGCCTATTCAAATTTCCTTTTTTTTTTATTTTTTTTTATTTTTTTTTTAAATATTATTTTTCTTTTTTCTTTTTTTTTTATTCCTTGTCGAGATTTTATTATCGGTGTTTTTTTTTAATTCTGTATAATAAAAAGATTTGACTTTTGACAGGGAGGTCAAACCCATATATGACACGGCTTGACACGGCCTTTGTCTCGTGTGTGGGATGGTTTGGGGAAGGGTGGGGGTGGGGGTGGGGGTGGGGTGGGGTAGGAGTGGGAGTCGGGTGGGGGTGAGAGGGGATAGGGGGGGTTGGAGGGGGGGAGGAAAAGCAAAGGGAAGGAGTGGGGGGGCGGGGGAGGGTGGTTATAGAGGTGGGTGGGGAGGGGGAGGGGGGATAAGGGAGAGAGGAATAAGGGAGGGAAGGGGAAGGGATAGGGGTTGGGGGAGGGGAAAGAGGGATAGGGGGTGGGGAGGGGAAAGAGGGATAGGGAGAGATAGGGGTGGGGAGGGGAAGGGAAGGGAGGGATAAGGGGGAGTAAGTAGTTGATGGGAAGATAAAAGGGGGATGGGTGGTGGAGGGGGGGAAGAGGGGAGGATGGGGGGAGGGGAGTTAATAATGCTGGTATTTGGCATTTGTGTTGATTGTGGCGTTGGGTCATGCATGGTATGGTGTGACTCGGCACGGCATTCCGACGGTGCCAGTGCCGGTCGGGGAAATCTTGCTGATAGAAAACATACCGTTGTGTATGGGTGTTGTTAGAGCTGTTGTCAGAGCCGTTGGCAGAGCTGTTGTTAGAGCTGTTGGCAGAGCCGTTGTTAGAGCTGTTGGCAGAGCTGTTGTTAGAGCTGTTGGCAGAGCCGTTGGCAGAGCTGTTGTTAGAACTTGTTAGAGCCGTTGGCAGAACTGTTGTTAGAGCTGTTGTCAGAGCCGTTGTTAGAGCTGTTGGCAGAGCTGTTGTTAGAATTGTTGGCAGAGCTGTTGTTGAATTGTTTGGTAGAGCGTTGGCAGAGCTGTTGTTAGAACTTGTTAGTGTTGCAGAGCTGTTGTTAGAATTGTTGATAGAGCTGTTGTTAGAGCTGTTCAGAGCTGTTTGTTAGAGCTGTTGGCAGAGCCGTTGCTAGAGCCGTTGGCAGAGCTGTTGTTAGAATTGTTGATAGAGCTGTTGACAGAGCTGTTGTTAGAGCTGTTGGCAGAGCCGTTGCTAGAGCCGTTGGCAGAGCTGTTGTTAGAATTGTTGGTAGAGCCGTTGGCAGAGCTGTTGTTAGAGTTAGAAGAACTTGTTAGAGCTGTTGTCAGAGCCGTTGTTAGAGCCGTTGGCAGAGCTGTTGTTAGAATTGTTGGCAGAGCTGTTGTTAGAATTGTTGGTAGAGCCGTTGGCAGAGCTGTTGTTAGAACTTGTTAGAGCTGTTGGCAGAGCTGTTGTTAGAACTTGTTAGAGCTGTTGGCAGAGCTGTTGTTAGAACTTGTTAGAGCTGTTGGCAGAGCTGTTGTTAGAATTGTTGATAGAGCTGTTGTTAGAGCTGTTGACAGAGCTGTTGTTAGAACTGTTGGCAGAGCTGTTGTTAGAATTGTTGGTAGAGCCGTTGACAGAGCTGTTGTTAGAACTTGTTAGAGCTGTTGTTAGAACTTGTTAGAGCTGTTGGCAGAGCTGTTGTTAGAATTGTTAGAGCTGTTGTTGTTGTTAGAATTGTTTGATAGAGCTGTTGACAGAGCTGTTGTTAGAGCTGTTGGCAGAGCCGTTGCTAGAGGGTTGGCAGAGCTGTTGTTAAGAATTGTTGATAGAGCTGTTGACAGAGCTGTTGTTAGAGCTGTTGCAGAGCCTTGCTAGAGCCGTTGCAGAGCTGTTGTTAGAATTGTTGCGTTGGCAGAGCTGTTGTTTAGAATTGTTAGATTGGCAGAACTGTTGTTAGAGCTGTTGTCAGAGCCGTTGTTAGAGCTGTGGAGAGCTGTTGTTAGAACAGAGTGTGTTAGCCGTTTGTTTTGAGAGCTGTTTTGTCTGTTGAGAGCTGTTGTTAGAGCTGTTGTGTTGTCTGGTGTTCTGAACGCGTTGGAAGCCATTTTCCGCATTGTGCAAACCTCGAATGATTGATAGATTGGCAGAAAAATAAAAGGAGAACGAAAATAGAAAAGCGTTTTTTTTTTTTTTTTTTGTGTGTGTGTGTGTGTGTCTGTCTGTCTGTCTGTCTGTGTCTGTCTGTGATGTGTGTGTGTGTCTGTCTGTCTGTGATGTGTGTGTGTGTGTCCTGTCTGTCCGTCTGTCTGTGATGTGTGTGGTGTCTGTGTGACTGTGTGTGTGTCTGTCTGTCTGATCTGTGTGTGTGTGTGTGTGTGTCTGTCTGTCTGTCTGTGATGTGTGTGTGTGTCTGTGTCTGTGATGTGTGTG